TTAATACCAAGATACTGATTTATTTTTTATTTGTAAATGGTAAGCCCAAAATACGTTATAATTATAATAATTTAATCCCAAAAATCACTGGTAACAGTTGAGACAAGCACCACCTTTGCTTTTCTCGTGTCTGCCAAAAAATGTTATCTTTTCGGAGATACGGTCAATGTAGGCAGTAAGGAGTGTACGATTTGCCATTTCTACTATTCTGTTCAGATCTGAATGTGATGTCGACCAATGTTCTGACATGTTCTGTTTTGTGGTTTAGTTAGACGAGAAACATAGATGGTGTATGGTTTGTGTGGATTTCCAGTATATGCGGTATTAAATTTGTTGTTTTTTGTCTACTAAAATGTTTTTTTTTTCATGGTAAATTTGATGGAGAACTATAGAAAACTTTCAGCACTGGTTTTTAAAGCAGAGTGTGAATGCCACCTTCGGGTCATGGAATAATTTCGTATAAATATTGGCAGCTGTGACCTTATTGATAAACCATAAATAATGTTACACTTTCTTTATGACGAAGTAGGGTCAGGGTAAGCTAAGATTTCGTGCAAGGCGTATCTATTAACAGGTATTAAGGGGCTTCGGATAAAAGAGAGTAATAATCTGACCTATTGGAAGGGAAGAATGATTTTTAGATGTTTTGTTTACCTTTCAGTCCTGTCAATGCGAGATGAGTGTTTACGTATTACATTAATTTATGACATTTTGTGGAATTTACTTTAGATAGTAGAACGGATTGTTAATTTTTATTCGTTTTAAACTGCAAAAGTTGCGTTAATTATCCGCAAATATACAAATGTACGTGAAAGTTATGGGCAAATCAAATAATAGATTGATTAGTTTATTAGACACCGCCATTAATTATTTGCATTGGTCGTGTTTGATCGCTGCGTAAAAGCGCGCGCTTTTTTCCCGGCCAATTAGAACAGTCGGTCGGTCATAACGAGACGTATAACGCGAAATCAATCAAAACGTTGGATTTTGCAGAGTATCGCGGCGGTAATACCGTTAACAATTTTTCATTTTGTAGGAAGCCGGGCAAGACGCGCGTTTGAATAATGATCGCACGGCGTGGTGTGTGGCGGACCATAAACCGAGCTATCGGATAACTAAGGAAATAACTAACTTTAGAATAACATCAAAAAATAAGTTTTTGAAGGAAATAGTCCAAAATTACTCCTTGAAATCTACTGTAATACTATTTACAAATCTTCTCGGTTCCTGCGTCGATTGTTTATAAGTCAAACTTGCTGACATTTCGCCAATTATCCTGTTGGTTTCTTTAGGGCGTAACTGAAACTGTTCAGCCAAGTTATCATACACACTCTTTTTTAATTGCATATAAATTTAGGACCTCCAAAAGCTGCGCTTTTTTGTAACTGAATTCAAAATAAACATCTTCATCTAACAAACATTCCTGGATTTCAGTTTTTGAACTTGACGAGGCTGGTGCTTTGCATATCAGACGGCTGTGGTAGCTTGCGTTATCCATGATTCAAACATTGTTGTTGGGAATAGTTTTTAAAAGATTATGTTGAAACCAATTTTTACAAAGTTCGGCACTTGTAGCCTCATGAAAATTTAAGCTTGAATACTTAATATTCTTTGCAGACAACAGCAAGCAGTTTGGGACAAATCAGTTTTCCGACCCTGCGTGTAATATAGTGATGCGTTTACTTTTATTTCAAGGTGCTTTCATCTGAAAGTTTTGAGTGGAATCAACTCTTCCTTTGTATACAGTGTCGTGTGTATCAAACCATGTTTTATCAAGGTAAATTATGAATCTGTTTTCTAATCTATATCTTTTAATTTCCTGAAGGTAATTAAATCTCCAAGTGCGTCATCTGCGTGATTTCATTACTGTTCGCCTTTCGTCTAGCTGCACTTAAATCCCGTTTCTGTTTGTTACAGACAATATGCTTCCCTTGCTATTATGCACAACAATGAAAGTGGCGGCTTAGGTTACTCCGCAGTCCTTTTGCATGCCAAATGAGGTGTTACTACTCGAGCCCTTTCTGAAATAGACTTGAAACGGTAGCACAGTAAACTTACTTTGGGCGGGAAACTGATGGTACAAGAAAGTGTTAATTTGGCTGAGGTAAAGGAGGAATTTTGAAATATTGGGAGATCATAACTTTTTTCAGGAGAGTGAAATTTAATATCCATTGCACAAAACTGCGCTAAACTCAGGGATTCTATTGGTACAAGAAAGTTTTCATTTGGTTGAGATCGGTTGGAAATGTGGAATTTTTAGAAGGTCATAAACTTTCTTCAAATTGGTTGCAAAACTCAGAGAATCTAATGATTTAGGTATAGTCCTAAATCATTTGCCATAAACTTCGTCTCGAGTTATAACCTGAAATTTCTTGTTGTTTCGTCATTGCTTGAAATTGAAATTGTTTTATTTCCAAAGTAATTATTCAAACAGTTTGAAGTGATAGACATTTGACATTTTATTTGCAAGCGCGTCAAATAATTTGGTGATCTCGACTATTTTTTAACGGGGAACAGCAGTTCTGGGTCATTAGAGTAGCGTTTTTATTAATTATAATTGTATAAAAAAAAGAAGAAGTAAATTCGGCTGGTAATTTAAAAAAATCTTATTTCAAATATAATTAAAATTGTGACAGGTGGACAATTACTTTACATACGCCAAGTCGGCGAGGGCTTCGCACTAAAAAAAAATATTTTCGACCGAAGAATTCCGAAGTTTCGGTATGACAGGAAGCGGCATTTTCGGTTGTCGCACTTATAATTTTAGATCGCGCTTAGACGACGACGGCGAAGTCTTCCAGCATCCGGTGCTTTTCCAGACAAAGAGCCGAGAAGCGTCTGTAATTGAAGTTAACGACAAATATATTCGAAGAACGTGGCGTCCAATTTATGTCGCGCTATTTTTAAATAATTGATTCGGCAAATAAACTCTATTGCCAGTTTCGTTGTAAAAATTCGTCCATTGCCAGTTAGCGAGCGATGTCCTAAAAGGAAACACGAAAAGTCAATCGTTAGACCCCAAAACATTTGTGAATGGCAGATAGTAAATTAACGAAAAAATGGATTTAACGTGACGTGGATCTGCTCAATCATGTTATATTAGTGGATGTGACTGCTTATTTAGAGCTTTCTGGCGCCCATAAAGGAGGGTCTACATGCAGGGTTGCATGTTGCATGTGGTGTCCACATTATAATTTCATTGTTGCGAATCGTTCTGGCGAGTTGAAGGCTCCCAGCAGCGGCGTGCGTAATTATTTTTGACGAAAATAATCCAAGGTCACGAAAATGCAGAAGCTATAGTGAAACGCAAGTATTAGAAGATTTAAGAAATGATAATGGCGCCTTTCCTCTCCTTGTCTCTTCGGTTTCGGAGAATCCATCCCAGACGTGACATTCGCGTCGACGAGACTGGTCCCGAGAGTGGAGCGATGGCGGGTGAGCGAGATCTACACGGTCAGCGAGCACCAGTATATCGTCTTTACCATCGGGACGACGCAACGGTCACAGGGACGGACCCAAATTAGACCAATAGGATGGAATATCCGGAAACTAGACCACGACAAACTGTTGAGACATATAAGAAACGAGCCTGATCCAGCCACGGGTCTTTCCGGGGCCATCACGGAGAGGAGGGATACGGAGCAGTTGGTTGAAGCAACGACGGGTCTCTTGAGAAGGCTCTGCGACGTTTCCATGCCAAGGAAGCAGACGCCACGGGATAAAGGACCCAAATACTCGTGGACAGACGAAATTTCTCGCCTACGAAGCGAATGTCACCGACTCAGACGACGGGCACAACGCGCCCAGCGCAGTTTGAAAGGCGTGGGGCCTTCCGACGAATACAAACAAATGCGCAAAAGACTGAGACGGGAAATCAACAGAAGCCAGGACGCATGCTGGACAGACGTGATCGACCAGGCGGATCGGGACCCCTGGGGACTGGGTTATAAGATTGTAACTCAGAAACTGGGTATGAACGAGCCACCTGTTGTCAAAGACGAACAGACCATGGACAGAATTGTTGACGGACTGTTCCCGACACATCCTGAAGAGGAGTGGCCGGAAGACGATGACGAAGACGAAGCGGGGCCAGAGTTCACGGGAGTGGAACTCGGTGAGGCGGTTTCTCGTCTAGCGGGGAAAAAAGGCCTCCGGCCCTGATGGCATCCCAGCAGAAGTGCTGCGCGTAGTAGCCAGAGAACGCCCAGAGTGGCTTCTCACCCTGTACAATACATGCCTGCGGGTGGGCCTGTTTAGCAAAGAATGGAAGAAGGCACGATTGGTCCTCATATCAAAAAAAAAAAGGTGGGGACCCCGATTCGCCATCTTCCTATAGACCGCTTTGCCTGCTTAACACGCTGGGCAAGCAGTTCGAGCTGCTACTCCGGCCTCGAATCCAAAAGGCAGTACAGGATGCCGGTGGCCTGCGCGACAGGCAATACGGCTTCAGGAAGGGCCGATCGACCATAGATGCGATACGGAACGTGGTGGAAGCTTTCGACAGAGCGCAGACAAAGCCCCACAAAGACAGACCAATAGTGCTTTTGGCAACACTCGACGTACGAAACGCCTTCAATTCGGCGAGGTGGAAGGACATCGTGGGGGAGCTAACAACTACCTTCAGGTTGCCTCCATACCTCCGCCGCATTATGAAGGACTACATGCGGGACCGTACACTTACGTACCAAACGGAGACAGGCACAAGGACGAGACAGCTTACGGCTGGAATGGCGCAGGGTTCGATCTTGGGCCCGGACTTGTGGAATATTGACTACGACGGGATCCTGAGAATCCCGATGGCACCGTGAGTGCACCTAGTAGCATACGCGGACGATGTCGTCATCGTGATAGTTGCACGGGACGGTCGTTGGACGCAGCTCCGGCTGAATCGAGCTCTAGGACAGATTACAGACTGGTTACGGAGACGAGGGCTAGACCTAGCCATACAGAAGCCGAACTGACGTACCTGACACCAAAAGCACATTGACACGAATGTGCAAATGACAGTAGGCGGGACCCAGATGGCGACCAGAGGCGAGGTCAGGTATCTCGGTGTCTACCTGGATACAAGGCTGACGTTCTGGTCGCACACCGTAGACAAGGCAGCTTCAAAAACTGCAGCACTCAGTCACCTTATGACAAACACGAGAGGACCAAAACAGAAGACGCCACAACTACTGATGACAGTAACCCACTCGATTCTCCTGCACGGAGCCGAGATATGGGGAGGCGCGATGGAAGTAAAGAAATACCAACAGGCCATGCTGTCGGTGCAAAGACAGGGGACTCTTCGTATCGCGTGCGCGTACCGAACAGTCCCCGAATCGGCGGTGTTAGTTATCGCCGGTGTGATTCCCATAGGCCTCTTAGCTCTTGAGCGAAAGAGTGTCTACGAGCGTAGTATGGAACTGGGCAGGGCAAGGGCGTCCAAAAAAGCACGCAACGTGACGATGGACGACTGGCAGACCCGATGGACTAACGGCACGGACTCCACATGAACGAGGAGACTAATCAGAGACGTGCGACGGGGGAAGGAGAGGGACGGGGGTTAGGTGAATTTTTACCTCACTCAGTTCCTCTCCGGACATGGATACTTCCAGCATTACCTCTGCCGCATGGGTAAGGTAACGAGCCCATGCTGTAAGTACTGCGGAGAAACTGACAACGCGGAACATACGTTTTTCGACTGCTAACGATGGACGGTAGAAAGACAAAGACTTGAGACGTTAACTGGACCGATTACGGTAGACAACGTGATTGACTTGATGACGTCGACAACGGAAAACTGGGACCTTGTGGACAAGTTCATAAGGGACATACTATTAAGAAAGAAGGCAGACGGCTGCCTAGAAGACTAACGAGACAACACGTGACGTGTTGACTGATACTGCACGGAGAAATACAGGAACGACAGATACGAACGCCACGTGGCACAGACACGCCCCCTAACTGGAGGTAATGCGAACAACAGTTCCCAGCTAGGTGGTGAAGGCGAAGGGTTTGCTGGGTTTAGCCTGTAAGAATCCTGCACTTCCCATTATGTGGGACAGTCAGCACGTTAGAGCTGGTGTTTGGCTGATGTAAGATTCCCAGCGTTACCCCTCGGAAAAAAAAATAGACTTTAGACTTTAGACTTTATTGGCCATTAAATACATTACAAGAACAACAAATGTTAAGTCACATCTGTGAATGAAAATGAATTAACAGAATACCAAACACATTCTAATAACATTCATAGAGAGAAACATAATTATCAGATAGACAAACACCAAACATTGAAACAAAAATTAGGTAAAAAAAAGTAAATAAATAAATAAATAGATTCCCAGTTAGTATTATGGAGACACTCGTGAAGAAACACGGATGTACTCATCTGCAGTATTGAATGCGTTCTCCAATAGAAATTGTTTTATTACCTTACAAAATTTAGTGAATGGCAGATCCTTGACAACGGTTTGCAGAATATTGTAGTAATTAATGTACAATTTATTTAACTCGGATGTGCGCAGCCTAGAATGACTCTGGACATTTAATTCAGATCCCCTGGTGTAGTGATTGTGGCGATCACAGTGCTTAGGCATATCGTTTTTTAGCTCATGTATGCGAGTGACTGTATAGTAAATAAATAGTGACGGTAAGGTCAAAATATTAAGCTTTGAGAAGAGCGGGCGGCAGTGATCACGAGGTTTTGCATTCGCAATCACACGTATCGCCCTTTTTTGCATAAGGAAAGCCTTGCGGGCATGCACGTTACGCGTACGCTAAGTGAGAATGGAGCAATCCGAAATAAGCAAGTCTTGACATGATAGAAATGAGTGACTTGTTTAAGTATCTAATTAGAAACAATTGACTTGACAGTTTGTGGCAAAGGTGTTCAACGTGATCTTTCCAAGAAAGAGTACCATCGATCCAGACTCCAAGTACCTTAACTGAGCATTGTTTAAATTGTGCACCTTGCTACAAGTGAAAATAAGATTGTTTGTTTTATTTTCGTTTAACTGTAAGGAATTCGACCAGAACCATCCACGCGCTCTAGTCTTATTGGCCACACTATCAATACTAAGTTCAATACATAAGTTCCTAGCTCGGGATAAAAGAATTGTATCATCCGTGTAGAGCGTAGTTTTACATGTTATGTGGGAACGCAAATCGTTGATGTAAACTATGAACAGCAGGGGCCCGAGCACCGAGCCCTGCGGCACTCCAAACGATACCGGCAGGCTAGAACTACTGAATCTTCCATTCGCTTCAACACACTGAAGTCTACCGCTAAGGTAAGAGTAATCTGTGAGGCATGCCCCTGATGCCATACCACTCGAGCTTCTGCATCCGCACTCCGTGATCCACACAATCAAAAGCCTTCGTGAGATCACAAAAGGTGGCCTCCGCTATTTCACCAGCGTCAAAGCCTTCGACAATGCTCCCCACAAGACTTAGCAAAGCATGCGTGGTGGATCTTCCGCCCTTAAACCCGAACTGTTCTTTGCACAAGAGTTTGTGTTTTTCAAAATATTTCAGCAAACGATCTTTTAAGATTATTTCGACGATCTTACTCATTATAGGGATGATTGCAATAGGTCTATAATTTGTGGGGACGTTGGTATCTCCCTTCTTGTGTAGTGGCACAATCCTGCTTATTTTTAACTGTTCTGGAAATATTCCAGTTTCAAACATCTGGTTAATTAGATGAGCTATAGGGTCAGCTAAAAAAGTTGCGGTATGTTTAAGAATTTTTGAATTTAGGTTGTAGACGTCTTAAGAATTAGAATTACTCAAATGTAGAATTGTGTTATAGACTAATTCACTGGAAACCGGATCCAAAAAAAACTTCGGCAGTAATGCTCGATGCCACCTGAGAAAAATATAAGTTGAAATAATTGGGAGTAATACTACAATTGGTATAACCGCAATTAAGGTTTTTCTCACTGTTAATAAGTTTCCAGAAGCTCCGACCAAGATTGTCAGAGTTGTTTACAAACTGACCATAAGCTGCAGCTTTTGTCGACTGAACTTCTTTTTTATAGCGTTTATTTAAATTTCTATACTCCTGCCAATGATCCGGATTGCCAGACGCTTTGGCCATGGCCTATATATGTAAGAGCTTATCATGCAGGCAACTTAGATCGCTGTTGTACCAGTGAATTAGTCTCGAACTTGTAGACTTAACTTGTTTCGTTTTAATAATCTGGTGATAATTGACATTGCTTGTTAGAAAATTTAACAGATATTCTACCGTATCAGATGGGCTTGCTGTCATGGAATAGTAATTATCCCAAACTGTTACCTCAAGAGTCTGAGAAACCTGCTTGAAACCCCCCGCTGACACGGTTTTAATTGAAAATCTATCTTCTTTCAACCTAAAATCACTTTTCACATTAATGAAAACACCTTCATGATACGAAAAACCAGGCTCAACATTACCAGCGCTGTAAAAGTTGTCACAAAAATTTACCATAATGTTGTCAATGCAATTTGCTGAATTGTAAGTAATTCTAGTGTTTTCTGAAATGGTTCCATGCATTCCAAAAGAGGATAACATGTTCAGTGAGCCATTTCGATCAACGTCATCACTCAAATTAAACTTAACATGAAAATCGCCAGCAATAATAATGCGTTTCTTAGTTGAATAAATTTCAGCGAGCAAGAGTTCAAGTTTTTTACAAATATAGAAAAATTGCCTCTAGAGCCAGAGCGACAGACATTGATTAAAATAAGTTTAAGCACTGGTATCTCCATACCACAAAACTCTGCGTGAAGATCCAGACAATATTTACTCAGATTAAGACTGCTACAGTCAATATTATTTTTAACATATATAGCAGTTCCTCCCCTGGAGGTACTGAGACGACAATAATATCCAACTAATTTATAATTGTGAACCTTAATAATATTAAGCAACTCCTCACCATTTACAAAATGTTCACAGAAACATACAATGTCAAAACCAATAGAATTTAGATATTCAGTAACCACATCGAGTTTACTTAGGAGACCCTGCACATTGTAGCTCAAGACGTTAATGCTGTTCCTACTTCCATCGTTGGTCTTAGGTCGCTAGACGTCTCTCTGTTGATATTGGAATTGGATCGGTCTTTTCTCTTTTCATACGCTTGGGGGAAAAATGATTTATCAACACACCCGTGGGCCAGATGGAAGTATGCAGACTTTTTTGCGCTTCGTGATCCATGGCCGATACCCTAAACGAGGAGTAACTCTCAGGATATATTGATGGAACCTGGAACACTTCTACTCCACTAACTCTCGGTGCTAGATATTGTCGGACCTCCTCAGCTTTGGTATTCGGATGCAGTTTAGTAATGTGAAAACTGATTTTACGTTCAGCAACTCGAAGTGCACATTTAGAGTTATCGCTAAGAGATCCTTTAAGCGGCTTGACCCTATCGTTTAGGACTCTGGAAGTTTTGCGTTTGGACCCACCATCCAGTTCTATTATTTCGGAGCATATCTGACGTGACACAGCCTCAATGACTGCACTAGACAGTTCTTTATTTGTAATTTTATTCAGGTGTTCCGACTTGGGGACGTTTTGCTTAATTAGACCTGTCTGTGATGATTTAGCCCTATTTACAGGATCCAGAGTTTGCCCTTCAAGGAGTCTGCTGCTTTTTAGTAGGCTCACCTGTTCTTTTAGAGCGGTAATTGCTATGGCTTGATTCTCGATAACAAGATCTTTTTGCTTCAAAAGTTCTTTCAAATACACGATTTCTTTTACGGCATCAAATGGAGCGTTTGCTCTAGAATCATCAGGAATTGGACCCGACTCCAAGGATTCGCCTCCGTAGGAACAGCAATCATGCTTGCACCTTTTACAAGGTTTAGCATTGCTTTGATCAGCCATCATTTTAACTATACCTAAAGAGCCTCCAACCGCACACTCGGCTAGATTTTTACTTTGTAAAACGATATTGATCTCAATAAAAATTGACTACTATCAACCGACCGTGCACGCTGTCGCTTCCCGGTCGCAGAGTGTCACTACGTGAAGCAAAAAAATACTGTATAAATTCGAACGTGAACACGTGTTGCACGTGAGATTACACTTTTTATGAAACGAAAGATGTTGATAACTGTTTATTGCGTACTACACACACTAAATCGCACGATGAACCGTTTTGAATAAATTAATTTGATTTGAAATAGACAGAGACTGTTTTTAGAGACAATAGAAATGCACAATAGGGGTTAGGCACGGCGCGCACAATAATAATAATAATAATAATAACAATAATAATAATAATAACAATAATAATAATAATAATAATAATAATAATAATAATAATAATAATAATAATAACAATTCTCAGAAGTAAGCTTTCGGCGCACAATACAATCACAGCTATAAATACTTTTGCTGTCCCAGTTGTTACGTATAGCTTTGGTGTTGTTCCGTGGACCCGAACCGACCTGGATGAACTCAATCGCATGACAAGAGTCTGTTTCACAAAACACCTCAAACATCATCCCAAAGCTTGCATTG